ATGGGGAAGGGGATGACGATGGGAGAAGGGATGGGGAGGGGGAAGGGGATGAGTGTGGGTGGAGAAAAGGATGGGGGTTGGAAGGTGATGTGGATGATGATGGGGAAGGGGCTGAGGGTGATGGATGTTTGGAAGGGGACAGGGATGGAGAAGGGAATGAGGATGGGGATTTGGAAGGGGATGGGGAAGCAAGTGGACAGTTGGAAGGAGATGGGGAACTGGGAAGAAGGTGGGGATTCGGAAGGGGATGGAGATGGAGAAGGGGATGAGGAATGGAGGTGAAGAAGGGAATAAGGATAAGGATGGAGAAGCAGATGGGGATCTGGAGGGGGATAAGAAGTGGGGACAGAGAAGGTAATAAGGAATGAGGATCTGGAAGGGGATGGGGATGGAGAGCGGGATGAGGATGGGGATGCAGAGGCAGATGGCAAATTTGGAAGGGGATGGAGAAGGGGATGAGGATCTGGAAGAGGATGGGGATGGAGAAGGGGGTGAGGATCTGGAAGAGGATGGGGATGGAGAAGGGGACGAAGATGGAGAAAGGGATGGGGATGGAGAAGGGGATGAGGATGGAGAGGGTATGAGGATGGGGATGGGGATGGAGAAGGGGATGAGGATGGAGAAGGGGATGGGGATCTGGAAGGGGATGGGGAGGGAGAAGGGGGGTGAGGATCTGGAAGAGGACGAGGATGGAGAAGGGGACAGGGATGGAGAGGGGGACAGGGATGGAGAAGGGGATGGGGATCTGGAAGAGGACGAGGATGGAGAAGGGGATGAGGATGGGGATGCAGACGCAGATGGCGATTTGAAAGAGAATGGGGATGGAGAAGAGGATGGAGATGGAGAAAGGGGATGAGGATGAGATGGATGAGACGATGGGCTTCAGGAAGCGGATGAGGATTCAGAAAGGGATGCGCAACGGGATGGGGACGGTGACATCGGGTAGGTCCTCACCACCACCCCCCCAACCTTCACCCAGGTGCGACCGGGCCAGTTCCACCGGCGGCTGTGGCGCTCCACGCGTCGCATCTCCCAGGTCTCGGCCGGCGAGACGGAGTACAACCCCACCGAGGGCAAGTCCTAGGCTG